GGCTTTGTGTTTCTTCTTGTCTCTATACGATTTTATTATTTAATAGGAATAAAATTCACTTGGTTGCAAATCACTTAAAACTTTGTCAAGGATCAATCATATTTTATTTTGTTGATAAATCATAGTCTAAGTGCTTATCAAATTCAGCCAGAAAATAAGTAGATAGATGGGACATAAGCTCTAAAGCTTCGGATCTATGATAATCATTTTGACATAATTTGTAGGAATCAATTACCACTAAAGAAAAGAAAGAATATGAGACTAAAATCAAATAAATAAATCATTTATCGAAGTGAATGATCTACTTAATTTTGCAATTTGAAATTAATAAAACGGTTGGTTATTAGCAAATGAATAAACTACTCATGCTTACATATATTATCAGTTAAACCAATAAAAAATAAAAAATAAAAGTTTTACTCTGCTGATCTACTAAAATTTTGTTGTCAACATTATATAGATAAATGAAATCGAACTCTCCTGTTTACTAAATCTACAAAACTAAAATAACAACGATATTTAGATTAACATATCCAAACAATTAATTACTAGATTTTATTGTTATTTACTCAGTTTAAATTACAAAAAAAAATTGTGGCTAAGTATATTTCATAAGTTTCACTATCTAGTTATCAAAAAAATACTTATCATGGAGAATCCACTAAAAATTTTAAATTTTAAATTAAATATGACGTAGTAATATCTAAAAGAACAAAGATAGTATAAACCATGTATTCCAATACTATCCCACTGAACTTATTTATATACAAGCTGTATTTGTGAATCTATGATAATATATATCGTCAGATATCTATCTACCTGAAACTTACCAAGAAAAGAAAAACAATTCACATGAAAAGCATCGAATAACGACAATAAGAATGAGATACTTAACGGAGCTAGCTAGAGAACACGATTTTAATTTTTTTTTATATACTTTTGAGAAAAATAAAGATTATATATATGTGTATTATTATAGAAACTCACAAGAAAAGTACTACTATTTGTTTTGGATCTTTAACCAAACGGAACCTCTGTCTTTATTTTTCATATGTCCCCTCTTTGTCCTTTTGTCGATTAGAAAATTGGTCACGCTATTGACAAAAAAAAAAATTGGTCACGCCTTTTTAGTTCCACACTTCTCATTTCCATCTCTCTACTCTACCACTTTTCCACTTTCTCTCTTTTTGTTTTGTTCATTTTTAACCCCGAAAATTTTCGTGTCGAAATATTTAAACATTTATATATAATCAACCATAATTATATTACAGCAAAAATACTCAAACATTGATCCGAAATAATAAAAGTGAATCTTCAACCACTAAATCACAATAAATTAGTTTAAACACAATAGTTTGATTTTTTAGTGATTAGACAAACGGGATTGCAACTTGAGTTTTTAATATTTATTTTAAATAATTTGTATGAATTTTGTTGAACTATCATTATTTACAAAAGTATTTTTAAAAATATTCTAAAATTTTCAACAATGTCTCTTAAATTACAGTAATAATGTAATTGACAAATTGAGCAAATTTAAGCCTATTTGATCGTTGTAACTCCGAGAACAACTGAATCACATCACATGGAAAGCGAAGGTAGAAATCCCTTATATATTAGTTGAAGAGCAATTTCTTGAAAAGAGCTTATGTGTCATCACCAAATTTATTCTCACAATTTTAATGTGACATGACATTGTTAAAAATATGACATGACATTCATACCAAACTAAACCTCTTCAATTGATTAATTTTTCTTAATTAAAATCGTGATAAATATTTTTTTCATACTTAAATATATTTATCATACTAAACCAAACTTGAAT